GGGGGGGGGTTACTGTTAGTTAGCCACTACTTTGTCGGCTTTGTCCATTTTAACCTCCCACTGCGACCAATAGGATTGCTCCATACTCAGTTGGTGTTCTTTATCTATCGCTTTGTCTCTGAATCTCAAAAATCAGACCGCAAGGCCAAACGATCTCTTCCCATACTTTTGAATCTCTAATTTCTAATTTTTGGTTTCTCTGGACTTCGTATTTTTTTTTTTTAAAATTTTAGTTCGATTTATTATATAAGGTACACACAGTACATCTAGGGGTTTCACATCTGTAAGAGTATATCCCCTGTTCATAACTGTAATCTTATTTACTATTCCTTATAATCTAGATTAATCCAAATCGTTAGATAACTCAAAGGGAATTGAAGTTGATTAATACTAACAATAAAATACTGAGATGGGTGTCTTAAATGCATTAAAAGCCATTTCTTAGATTTAGAAAAACCTGTCAGGGAGAAAAACTAAATCTATTAAAAAAACTAAATCTATTAAAAAAACTAAATCTATTAAGACAAACTAAATCTATTAAGACAAACTAAATATGTTAAGAAAAACTAAATCTGTTCAGAAAAACTAAATCTGTTGAGAAAAAATAAATATATTACTGGACTTCGTATTGCCATTGGAAAAAGTGTAGACGTATTACGGTTGTTGCTCCAATAATTTAGTTTATTGCGATTTATGGAGCGATGTATGAAGACGACCTGTGTTTTTGTTGCAGAAAAGGAGTGTCCGGAGTTGACCAGCCCTGACCTGGGGATGATCGAGGCGACGGGGAGGTTTTTCAACGACAAAGCAACGTACAGTTGCAACCCTGGCTACCACTTGGTCGGCCTCAAAGAGCGGGTCTGTCGCGCTGATGGCAGCTGGACTGGTGTCGCGCCCACCTGCAAGCAGAATGGTAAGTTTACATACTCTTTAAATCTTATTCTACCTTACATTTGGACTATTTCCGCCGAACGGAACTTAGTGCATTAAGGCATGAGCCCTGGGACCCATGTGAATATATGTACAACAGGGCTCAAGTCATAATGCACATAGTTCTGTTAGGCAGAAATACGTCCTATACTGCCGTGCTAAGGAAGAACGCCGTATGAACATTCGAGAGTTGCCAGATTCCCTTCGATATAATGTTTTCTTTTACGGAAAGTTATGAATATTTTTCCTTGAAATTCCCAATATACGAACTAAATTCTCTGAAAAATTGAAAGAAAAATATTCATAAGTTTACTAATGAATTCTTGTTTCATTAAAGGAAATTTGGCAACTCCTGGAGGTTCATACGGCGTTTTTCCTTAGCGCAGCAGTATAGGTACAATCATAAGAATAAAGCATATCGACAGAGTAGGTCGACAATCACATATCTCATTTGCGGTGTCTGAAAATCTCCGCCTCTATGTTATTTTTTAAAATAGAACAAATTGACATTATTCCTTAAAGTTTTTGTAAAAGTTTCTTTGCGCAGAGAAGGAAAATCACGGCAGTTCTAAAGAATATCCATTGAGTAGGGATGCGCTTAAAAAATAAAGTATGACAGGAAGTCTGCGTCGTCGCAAACCGAGTTATGTGATTGCCTACTCACACCGTCGCTATCGAATTAGGCGCGAAGCGCTCCGGGGGTTTGGAGGGAGTAGCCCCCCCCCCCCCGTATTCATATAAATCATGCATGAGTGCCATGGATTACTTGATAGAGGGCTGGATGTCGATCTCGAGAAGGAAACACTTGACTTCTTCTCGTAGAAATGACTTGTAAAGTTTGCAAGGCAACTAAGATTGTTCAATGGGCTTCAGCCAACGTGTGAATTGGATTGCATTTTGCAAAAAGGAACCAGAAGCATTGCAATGATGATAAGATTAAGCAACTTCATCCTTTGCAATATAAGTACTAAAATCATGAAATAATATAAAATTCTCATGGAAATTTTTGTCTTAAATTTAAAGTTTTTAGCGAGTAAAATAGGGACTGTTAATGGATAATCAGGTATTTCTTCCAAGCCAAAATAAGGAGTACAATATTAGCAACATTGCAATGCTCCTGGTCCCTTTTTGCTAAATGCAATTCGCAATTGGATTGCATTTTGCAAAAAGGAACCACTAGCATTGCAATTTTGCTAAGATTGTGCACTTCTTTTGTCTTGGAGGAAAAACCCAATTATCCATTATCAGTTTCTATTTTACTCGCAAAAAACTGTGAATTTAAGACAAAAATTACCATCTAAATTTCATAGTTTTTCACGATTTCCGCAATTTTATTGCAAAGGATGAAGTTGCAAAATCTTAGCATCATTGCAATGCTAGTGGTTCCTTTTCGCAAAATGCAATCCAATTAGCCCATGCCCAAGCCGGGTCAAATTGACCCTAGGTCTGCTAAAAACACGTGCCCCGCGGATTGTTCGGGGCCGGCACATTTGGACTTTAGATACAGGTCTTCAAATATATCCTAAGAGAAGAATTAAAGTTTTTTTTTTTTTTTTTTTTTTAAAGAAATTTTATTTAAATATATCGTAACTACTACAAGTGTTTCTTGTATCTATCTACGTGGCTTAAAACTAAAACTTAACAAACTGCATTAGAATTAAAGTGAAGAAAAGAAAAAATCGAGTGTTAACACAGTCGGAGATAGAAGAGGCGTAATAAGGCCTCGTTTTTTCCGAATCCGAGCGGCGCCTCACTTGCAGCTCAGTTGTGAGTGCACGCCTTGCGCCATCGCGCCTTCAATTTTGTAGACGCAACACGGACATCTACTAAGTACGAATAGTTTTATCTCTGCGCCGACATCAACGCGCGTCCTTCGCAGGTTCAGTCTCATGTCATTTGGATTGAATTTTGCAATATAGAACTATACTCCGGCGTCCTGAGGAAAAACGCCTTGTGAACACTCGAGAGTTGCCAAATTTCTTCTGATAAAATTTACATGAAATCCAATCCAAATTTTCAGATAATTTTGTTCGCTATTCCAGCTGAAGTTCCTGAAAATTCCGAGGAAAAATATTCATAATTTGATCAAGAAATCTGTATTTAACCAAAGAGAAACTGTCAACGTCTAAAGTCTCATACGACGTTTTTCCTTAGTACGGCGGTACTATTTCAAGCTTATTTTAGCTCATAATTTTCTACGTCGATGATTAAGGAACGATACCGCCCTTCTCGCAACTAACAAGTTTACATAACGAAGAAAAAACTTCGCCATTTTTCTAATTTTAATTTTAAATTTGCATTTGCATTTTTTTATACACTATAGCGTCATTACAGAGCTTCCACGTAGAATTGGCAAAAAATTAAAAACATCAGCTTTTTCTTTCATACAGGAGAATACGGCAAAGTTGCTGATCAAATTTTTTCACGAAAATTCAATTAGGTGGTATTGTTCCTCAGCCAAGACATGCAGACAGGTGCTTCTGTTGGGGGCCGTTCGATTGTTACGTAACGCATTTT